GCTCATGTTGGTCATTGATAATTTCTGGGGTTCCTATGAGATGATGACTTGTAGGTGGTACTTGGATACTTTGGTTGGATTAGGGGTGGTACTTGGTCCAAAAAGTTTGAGAACCACTGTGTTAGAGTGATTTCAATAGGCCAGGTATCTTTCTATCCACCTTGTTGCATATTGTGACATATTGTGATTGCTGCCAAGTAAGTAATCGTGTTGTTACCTGGGCTCTTCATCAGAACGGCTGGTATAAGACCCCCTGGGCTCCTCAGTAGCAGGATGAATGTGAGCTGCAGTCATTGTCGTGTACCCACTGGTCACAGGGGACATCTCAGTGGGGTCTCCTGTGGTTATTTCTGTTCCATCTTGTGATGTAGTCGTCCCTAGTTTTGTATCTGTGGGTCTCGAATCTATTAAGAGGAATTTAAAGGACATGCAATTTTTTCACTAATTCACAATATACAAGTTTGCAATAAATTACTGTTTTTACAGAAATTTAATTTCACAACATAATGAATCAAATTGAGTTGATAGACTATTTTATAGCTTCTATAAAAATAAGCTTATTTTAATCATTTAAAATATATTTTTCAATAAATAAATGTGCTATTTTATATAAATGTACCTAATCCAAAGTTTGTATAACGTAAAAAACTGTAATGAAACAATGTGCCAATTTATATATATGTTAATTGCAGCATATCCAATTTTTATGTGTTACAAAAATCTATATTGAAACAATTCACAGGACCTTGTAGTTTAACATTTTGGTATACAAAAGATTGAATTTACAATTGGTGGCAAATTTAATAAAAGTCAACACCAGCGTATATCACTTCTTAAAAGCCAGAGGAGACAATAGTATTGTGAAGCTCAGGTAGTGTTTACCTGTGACAGTGAGGAAGACAAGATTGTCTCTGATTATGATATATGCACAATGAAATTCAAAGTGGGCAGCAAATTTAATAATAGTTAACGCAAACAGGTACCCCTTTAAAGCCAGAGGAGGCAATAGTATTGTGAAGCTCAGGGAGTGTTTACCTGTCACAGTGAGGAAGACAGGAGCTAGTTCATCCTTAAGAGAAAATGATCTCTTTATTCCACAC